TGTATAATTAGGTTGCTAATCGATCTCAGATTTTCATTTTACTGAAAATCCCAAAAAGTTCCCTGAAAAGCTCAAATTTGATTCACACTTACAAGGGAAGCTTGTTTAGTCGAAGTGGCTTTTCCAAATGAGATGTATACCATATTAAGGGCCAAAACGCTGATTCCAAATCTGCCTTCATTATCTGCAGAACATTTATGGAAGAGGAGTTATGAGCGTTTTTTGAGGCCGAAAATTAAGTGTGCATTTTGGATAAAATCTGCTAAAATCTTACTAGCCCTCAAATAATGCAATCAAGTGTGGAATACTTTTACCTTGGAGTATGTTTCAAACAAAGAGCTCTGATGATCGTCACTGCTCCTTGAAGAGCTAGAAAAAGTATTACGATTTTGTCCTACTACCAGATTCAATTTTTTTGCTCCAATAAGCGCTCATAACTCCTCGTCCACAAACATTCTGCAGATAAGGAAAGAGATTTGGAATCAGCATTCTATGTCCTACAATGATCGTACTCGGTGACTCTAATGCACAAAAGTGGCATGCCTACGGGGCGGCGTGGCAGCAGTTCCCAAAGCCTAGCCGCTTTTCCTCGCAGGGGTACTTGGCACCTCCAGAAATCCCTTGAAGGACAACACACCTTCTCGGGGCCAAAGGGCGGCTCCGCCCATCACTCTTCCCTCTAGGTGCCCTCATTCTTAATTGTGTACATGCACTGTAAGACATGCCTTATTATATATATGAGGATAATGGAACTGGAATGGGGAAACAAAAAAAATTCTAGGTTTTAAAAGGTCCAGAATCCGCAGGTGAATTGCAGCATTTGGGAGTTATGTATTACTCATGTTTTCAGATAGATTGACGCTTCCTTAAAAACTTTTAAGTGCTCGCGCCTGACTATATTTGTGAAACACATCGCATTAATATAAATTAAGCAGAAGTTATGAGTCTTCCAATCACGGTATATAACAGAAAAGTTAGTCTACTTTACGCAAGTTCTGGATTCATCTAAGAATATAGCGAATTACCACATCTTGCAAATTCAGTGTCGTTTTTGAAATTCCTAGTTAATTCTTCGATCACGCGACGAAGTTTGGTAATCTAGTAGAACGATTGTAGGAAATACAAAATTTCTTTATGATTATCTGGGCCTTGCTGATCATTAGAGTAATCGGAATGAAAAACTCTTTGAATGTATGATGGCAGACGATAAAAAAAAGTATGTGTTTAGATATCCTATCCGTTGGAAAGCGTTAAGTGCTTGTTCGGAAACTTTGATGCACATCATTCAAAATAGGTCCTTCGTTGTTGTGAAAGAATTGGGTTCTGAAGCTCCTGATGCTAAATTACTTCAATCAGATGACCAGTATTGTACAATTTTTTGACTAGATCCTCTAATATTTCGAATGACCGCATTTTCCATTCAAAAATTTCTCTGTTATTTTTCTCTTCTTAGAGTAATGTTCATGTTGTTCTTTTTCAAAAGGATGGCATAGCAGAAGTTTCCAAGCCGCCTCACTAAAGAAATGATAATATGTTCCGTTTTTTCTCCATTTTTTTCTCTTATCACCTTAATACCTGAATCTACGTTCTCGCTGCTTGCACGCCTCACAATGAGACCGGTTAATAGGAGGAGCAATAGGCGGGTCCTGACCTCTGAGGCCCGGAGGTGCTAGAACCCTCCTGGGTGCGAATGTAGGTGCGAAGTTGGTGCGAGGAAAGGTGCTAGGAACTCCTGCACGCCCTCCTGCCTACGGCACTGCCTCTCTGGTAACTATCAACCGATGCTTCTGACCTCTCGAGAACGAAAGGTGAGAAAATAGCAAGAACATCTCAGAAACTCCAGAAATTCCTTGTCTGCCTGTTTATTATGAATTGATTCAAACTTTTGAAAAACTTCGCAAAAAATGGTCCTCCTATAGATATGCGAGTAAAATAAATATAATAGGTGTACTACAAATTATCTGCTCATGTCGTTGTTCCCTCATTTGATTCTATACTTGTGAGATCCCATGCACATATGCTCACTACAGTGAAGCCGGTTCTTTAGTTTAATAGAGGAAAGTGGTTTCAGTGTCAGCATAGCCACTTGTAAAAAAAGAGAGGAAATTTCGTCATTTCCGACGTTGAAGACTGATCAAAACACATGCCAAGAGGCTGCATGCTACGCGCTTCCTCGAGGACTTAGTCTACGGGATACAAAATGCCAAGTTGACAATTACAGCGGCCCTCATTCCAATAATCGCATTGGGTAACTACATCATTTCGATGATTTACAGTGGAGCAGGCTGGTAGCGGTACAGTTGCTATTATAACAAAACTGTATAAAACTCGAAAACACGAAGATGGTTGCTCGAGATATCTCTCTATAGGCCCTCCGCGCAGAGTGCGGAGAGTGCGCAAGGCGTGTACTGCGCGTCACTCCCCTTTCCTCATGCACTCTCGTCGCTTTTTTTCTCTGCGCCTCTTCCAGTCATGAATTGCCTTCGATGGACGCGCGTTGCTCTCCGAGCACAGCGCGTTTGGCCTATACTAAATGACGAGGACTGCATAGTGATTCGTGTTACGACACCAGATGAGAAACTGTCAAATTTGGCTCATTCTGCAATTTTTTTAAGAATGAGCGCATTGCAGAAAACTTCTTTTAGCAAGAATTATTGAACATTCCACATTCTTCTATAGATTGTTCTAGAAACATTTAACAAAAATAATACGAAGAGAATTTCATAGGAAGCGTTACAAAGCAACCCGTCATATTTACACGTGGGACTGCGCGCTTCGTAACTGTTGCCATAGAAACTCAGCCACTATTTGATTTACCTCTGACATTGCCACGATCGCTTCTACTTTCAAATCAGTGTCATAATAATTTTTCGTAAATAAGACGATGCGCTTCAGTGATTTGGAGTTTTGTTGATTACGAAGTATGCTGCAAATCCAAATCGATTTTCATGTGAAACTTTGCGTGTTGCCCCCTCTCCAACACTCACGATTTATTCGTGAAATTCCGTGTTAAGTAAGGGAAGATATATAAATCTGTTTTTTTTATCTAGCTGGTTTTACTGCTGAACTGACTTCTTTTGATTCCCGTATCAATAGGCGCATGCTGCGCATATTTTCAAGACTCATGCGTCTTCCATTTTGAAGAAACGAAGCTGGAACTAATGATACCGTAGTGATTGTCGCATGATTCTGGCTTGGCTTAATCAACGTAGGAAATTTTTGTATGAGAACACTACTTGCGCAATTCTCACATCAGTCTGTATGAACTAATCTAACATTCATGCAAACCCAATTTTTCTAAAAGCAATTGTTTATTCGAAGTAGAAAAGTATTTGAAGTTTGAGACATGACGGATGAAAATACGTAAAAGTTGACGAGAGTGGGATTCGAACCCACGCCTCCGAAGAGACTGGTGCCTTAAACCAGCGCCTTAGACCGCTCGGCCATCTCGCCACACGTATGCCATCTGTATACATGTGCTTAGATTCCATTCTTAGTAAATATTTCTAATTTAGTCGTTTAGCATGGAAGAAGGAGATAATGCTACAGCAGCGACACCAAAGTTTGAAGGCTTGTTCAAAGCTCTTCGCCTCTACCGAAACAATCAAATAGATGCATGCGAAGAGGAGTGCACGAAGCTGCTCAATAAAAATCCTCTAGATCAGGTACCAGGAGTGTTTGATGAACAACTGTGCGTTTTCACTGCTATTCAGGCCGCGTGGGCTCTGAAACTTTGTTGCTTGACTGACCCTGTCTACGTTGACGAACTTGAAAACGATGAACTCGGCATTGCTGAGACATTTTTGGATCAGAATGTCATCGCTCCAAATGCTCGGCCTGGAACATCTTTCCAAAGACCAACCACTACCGGAAAAGGCATGAACCCGATTATGAGGTAATATCTTCACTTTTTGCCAAGAGTAAAGTGTTTGATTTTTCTCAGACCAGTTTCAACAGCTGGAAGACCGCTTTCGGGTGTAGCTCGTCCGTTAACATCACTCCGACCTGGGACAATGGAACAAGCAGTACGCACAAGTCGCACTGCTAGGACAGCCAGAGCTGTTAGCAGCGGATCAGCCAGACAGCTACGTTTAGGAACGGTAAAAATGCTTAAGGTCTTTTATACGTTAATTGAATGACGTTAGCTTAGGCTTCTATGGCAGCTAGCGCAGATGGACCTTTTGTCAACTTGGCTCGACTCAATGTGGACAAATATGCAGCCGATCCTCACGTGAGTGCAAAACTGCCATTTGCTGGAGAAAAGAAGGTCTGAAGAAAAGGATGTATAGAAACGCTGCGAACGAAAAAGTGGCGAATCTGACTGCCTGGTTGATTTACGTATTAAGGAAATTGTATAACTTTTGTTTCTTACGTAAAGCATTGATGCACCTTTGGGCATACAGGTCAGCGTTGCAGTTTAGATCAATACTTGTTAGTTTGAGCCATTAGCTATTATATCCTATTTGTTTGGTAATGTAGAGCACTTTCTTAAGTGAACGCGCAGAACCTTGTGATACCCACATAAATGAGTGATAGCTGAAAAATTTTTTAAAGGAAGCTATGATTTTGATAGCTATGAGCTTTCCAATAAATTCTGCAATCTAATAAGTTCTACCAATGTGGTGCACACGGTCTCCCTCACACAATTCCGTTTCAAATTCATCATTACGAACACTTTACGAACTTTCAGTTGTAAGTTTCTGAGGCCGCTTATATTGATCGTGCACCCAAACGTGATAAAGGTTGCAAAGGAGGTGAAAATTTCAAGAAAAGACTGTGTCGATAACGCTAAACTGCATGAAGTGAAAAGAACCAAAAAGCTGTATATCAACATGAATGTGATCACTGTAAAATTTGCAGCACTGCTCTTATGCTTGTAAAATCTTCTGCCGAGAATCAAAATCAGACTTCAGGCCTGCTCTAATTTAATTAAAATCCGCATTTAAAGATTTCTTATCCACGAACATCATTGTTCATTTGCTTCATTCTGAGATTCATTGATGATGTTGATGGTTATGTTTACGAGGAATAAAGTGATTGTTACGTAGCAACAATTCCGATACAGCTGTCGTCACCTGTTGTTGTGCCGGAAAGTGATCAGGAAAGGTGGGAGGAGATCGGGCACTTGTTACATAAGATTTACATGCTTTCGTCAATCACAGAAGAAGCTATTTTATGACTTGAGGTTAAAGCTTATTTTTGGCTGTGTTGTATAGTTCACTATGATCACGTCATCTGGGAAGGCATATGTCGTTTTGCAATAATGAGACAGAAACTAGGGAAAGAATTAGGTCCATTCGGCATTATATTTGAAGGGAAAAGCTCGGCTCCTGAGAATTTACGACTAAACGAGATAGAACTTTTCTTCCATGTACAAATAACCGAAGAAATAATGTTGGTCGCACTAAACCAGCGGTTTACCCAGCAAAACTTATGCGCGATCGGGCAGACATAGATCTCCTGCAGTCATTTCATCACTTTTGCAAGCTTAATATCTAACGACAAGCACAAAATTGCTGGACTTATTTTTATCCTCAAACTTAACGTATTTACGTCCCAAGTCGTCGTTGTTCAGAAATCTCCATCCATCACGACGGCATTTGACGTGCACCGGTGGCATCGGTTGTGTTGTGGCGCGATTGCGTTGTTACATCGCGATGGAACAGCGCGACGGCGATGCTCCGCCGCGCTCGGCACCCCCGCAGACAGATGAGCGAAGCATCGAGCAGATGGGAGCAAGCGAGAAGTTCAGCATTCAACGTAAAAGTTATAGATAGCTGCAGAATGTTATGTCATGCATAGAAACACTGGCGTTTTTGATCTATGAGAACAAAATCTCGAGGTAATTCCGGAACAATTGAATAGAATCTCCCCAAAGTTGGCAGAATAAAAGGTAGTTCGCTCTTCATGATTTCACATCCTATTCGAAATTTCTTCGGTCACATCAACAATGAAGATAGATAATGCAATTGAAGTCCGTGTCAACGATATGCTCCCTTTCCGATCAGCTCAAACGCAACGTCAGGGCCGTGCCGCGTACGCGGTCGGGTTTTGAGCGCTCAGATTAGCCGCATTGATAGGGGAACGCTACGCAGTATTCACGCGCTGCGGATGCATAGTTGATACAGAAAAGGGAGCACGTGGTTGACACCGACTGTGATCTTTTTGTTTCAAAGTTATAGCGGGTATGCTCAATCACTCGAATGTAAATTCATGTACCCTCGATAAGTGTTTTATACTTGATTCCTTCCCATGCAAGTTTATTCCCAGAACATCTGCAGCTGAATGCATTTTGGTAGAGCAGGTAATTGCTAGCGTCAGTAGCTTTTATTACAAGAAACTGCGTAGTACTCTCAAGCAAAAACTCTGCTTCATCCCAGCGCCTGCTGAGACAGGGAAAAACTGGAGTTATCATGGCATGGATTATGATCATTTCAAAACATGCGTGATGCAAAATAATTCAATAAATTGCAGATCACCGTATTGCATGTGACATATGTAATGCATAAAAAGAATATACTAGCTGTAGTGCATAGTGGAAATTGAGCATACTCGAAACATACTCTTACCAAGTTCAGTCGTTCATTTGCATGATCATCTTATCAGGTTGGCGCGAGTGTTCCAACTTTGTGCAATTTGAACAAAATTAAGGATCTAAAAATAATTTTGTTTTCTAAAACTAATAGGTTTGCGCTCCATAAGTTGTTCAAGCATAATTTTCTAGAGAGTAGCCAAAGAAGGTAGCTCTGAAAATGGGGTTCAGAATTTGTGAAGCTTAATGCTTTAGGACTGTGGCAGGTTTTGACTTCGTAAAAATTTAAATGTCATTTTGCAGAGAAAATTTCATTATCACCGCATTTTTTATTATTACACTTTTTCCGCAAAAACCTTGTTTGACATGCCACTTAACGTATAAACTGCCATATATTGCTATTCAGACTCTGGTAGCAAATCCAAAATCGTTTAAAACCAAATCAAAGGCACCGTTCTCGATGCTAAGTCTGGAAATTTAGGCTTTCAATATGGCATGGAGCGCAAAACTTCCACTACTTCTAAAATTCAAAATGAATCTATGTTTCCTACCCTAATCTTAAGGAGTACAGGCGCAGGGTTCTTTGACAAAATCAACAGGCCCAAATATACCATAGTAGCGAACCCAAAGACCCTGCACTGTGGCTTAACCTAAGAAAATCGCACGATATAGAGATTGTTTCGCGAGGCCTAGTCAACAGCGAGCTTCTGCATTAGAAGAGGAGAAAGCTGCGCCTTGTACTCGTGAAATTGTGGTGCCAAAAAGGACTTCGTTTGTTGTTTTATAGAACAGTCTACCATAAAATTTTGACTAGTAGCGTCTCTAGAAGAGTCATTCAAAATTATGAGAGTTCGACAAAACTACATGAACATAGAGTTCGCTATAGATCACTCTTTCGAAGAGGTTCTTTGAACGATTATTGCAATCTTCTGCTTCCACAAATTCCACTTTACAAAAATACTGAAGAGAAGCTAGTCGTCAGCAGTTATTTAAAGAAGTGCTGAGGTGGAGAACAACAAAAATAATCGTGTAAAAAGAGGGATTAACTCAATATCTTCAAGTACTTTCGATAACAGGAATATTCCTATCAATTTGCAATGTTTTCTTTTTTGAAATATTTCTTTATTGATTTCAGAAATCAAGTTTTTTTGGGAAACAATACTCAATATTTCAGAGTTCCCATAATGCATAGTTGCTAGACTCAAGTGGAGAGTAATAATACAAGAGTCTGAACAAATGATCTTTGCCTAAGTGATAAAAAGGCATAATAGTCATCTTGCGCACCTCCACCGTCCGTAGACAACCAAATTCAATAAGTTCGTATTATAGGAAATTTGTTGCAACAAGTAAATCAGGCATTTTTGCTTTATACTCTCGACTAGATAAAAAAGGATGGTCAAATTCTGATTTGATTTCATCCTTTTAGCCATCTGTACGGAAAACATTTCACAGCATCAGTTCCGCTGGATCATGACAAAGTTACGACATTTCGTAAAGTGAAGAAGCGCTGCGTCGACGAAACTCCGACATGAGCCATGTTTTCTTGCCGCTCGTAATTTTTGCCCTTTGGCTTTGGCGGTTTCTCCCTCTGCCGCTGCCAGCTTACGCATCGGAAATCCCCCTCTCAAGACTACCGTATCCACGATCGATACATCAGAAATATGCTGAGTTTTAAGAAAGAGACGTGGGTGCGCGCACGGCGATTGGACAGCTGTGGATGGCATGCGGAGTTGGCACGCCTCGATCTGCGCCTCGAGCCTCACCCGCCCCCCGTCGACGGATCTCGCACAGACCGCGCATATCGCTCAGGCACCTCTAAATCCACTAGTTCTGCGTAAAAATGTCCGACGTCGAGGATGAGCATGCCGAGCAGGACGAGAATGAGCAGCCAGAGGTTGGTGTCTTTGTCCTTCAACAGGAAGTTGTACTCCGACGTTCTTCTCAGTCATAAAGTCATTTGCATTTTTCCATCCTTCAAGTCTCTTCATAAATGTTCTGTTGAAGATATTGGCAATCACTGAAATCTTGGCTACCTCATTAATTTGCTTTTCACATTTTTTTGCCTGTCGCAAGTTCTTAGCGGCTTCTACAACGATCCTACAGCTTTATTGAAATCTGGTGCTAATTATGCTATCTCCGGTTTGGGCTGAGTAACCATAATCATTTGTAATGGGAATCTTTGAATTGTAAAGCAAATTTTTCGAGTGCTAAAGTATACGGTACTATTAACAGTGCAATCTGTTTTTTATCAACAGAATTTTTTTCTGATGAAAATGCATTTGAAGTCCAGAACACACTTCTTCCCTTGATTTTGAATTTTAGTGCTTCTGTTACGTGTTCACCATTAGTCCCTGTAAAATCTTGCCGCAAGTTTCGAAAGTTTTTTGTAAATGTCATGACGTTTCCCGCCTAGAAACGCTACTTCACCCTATCAAACACTTTCAAATGCTTAAATAAACTCAGTTAGACGGTTAATTTTGAATAAAAATATTGGAATCACGGCTTCACTTCTGATTTCATAGTTTTTCCTTTCTTTATTCCAACCGAGTTTCCAACGCAAAAATCACAAAATTAGAATCAATTTGAGGGAATTATGATCTGCAATCAGAACCAAACAAAGTTGAAATCACTTCATCGCATGCTCCATCTCTTGATCTTTGCAACATCTGTTGTTAAGCTCGTTATTATATCACAGAAATTTGATCTCTTCCAAACATTCGCGAAAAGTCGAAAAGCTCAAAAACTAAGGCTGGCTTGGATTTCCTCCCTGAGGGTAGTATTAGCTAAGCGCATCGCATCTCACTTTAAACATTCGACGCCGTTTCTCACTCTGACGTTGTAATAATGTACCTACTACGAAGGCAGGCGAGCACCAACGGGATCTTTCCACACACGTGAAAAGCGTAAAGATCTCAAGAAGTCCAAATAAAATTCATTTCAAAAGAAATTAGAAAAATGTTTGGGAGTGTGGAATAAAGGAAGGTGGTGCTGTAGTGTCGAAATTGTATAAATACACATTCTCAGCGCAATCCACTTTTATGGCTACAACTATTTCGTGTCAGATACGACATTTAGAAGTGTTTGTTCGCTTCCCGATGCCTTCCTCCGTCTGTTCTACGAAAATTGATCTGCTGCTTCTAATTCTTTGTCCATGTATTCATATGAGGAAACGTTCATTGAATCATCATACTGTCGGATTTTTAAGGAAAAATTGCCCAAGGTACTGAGCAACATTTTTTTGTTCCCTTGCTCTTATCCCTTGCTTTCATGAATTTTTATCCGCGCGAATAAGGGAAGAAGCAGCGTTTTTTTTTTACAAATCCTGAAGAAATGATTAATCAAAGTAAGGCAATCCTTGAAAGGAAATCCAGGCTTAAACGTGGATGTACATTCCAACAAGCTCGGCTCTCTCTGGCCTCTCCACTTTGACTTAAAATTTCTGTATTGGCGAAAAAATCCTGTCATTTTTGTTCTCATCACTTCTGCATGTAATTCCCCTTACAAAACTAAAAAAGCTCAAAACTTGGAGCGGTGCAAAGGACTACTGAAATATTGTTATCTAACCATCTCATAATCTTCTGAGCCTGTTTCTTCAGGAGGCAAAAGACGATCATCTTGCACCAAAAGCAGGCGCTGCTGCTTCGACAGCCTTGAAGAGCCCTACTCCCGGACGACAGGGTGGTTTCAATGTGCCAGAAACGGTGCTTAGAAAGTAAGTTTAGCTATGTTTTTAGTTTTCGAGGCAGCTGAGTCAGCTGTTCTCCCTAAGATCCATGAAGAAACGCATGAAAGTAATAATTATATATAGCGCAACGGCCTTGCATCACAAAGTGTTCAAATCGGGCAAATGCTTCTTGCTTTTTTCAAACTTCCATACTCTAAATCTGCATGTGCCATTTACAGGACAGTTCAACACTGAAATTCGTCCTTGTTTTTTTTAACCGTTTTGTGAAAAATTAAAGTTGAGGAAACTATAGTTACATGTACTACTTTTGTCACTTCTAAGCCGCAAATGATATATTTTTTCAGACAGCAGCAATACTCTGCTGGTAAACCATCAAAGCATGACAAGACGAAACTTATGCGATCCGAGGGTATCATCCCAATCCAGGCAGGATCCAACAAATATGCATCGCAGAGGGGAATGACAGGTTCGGAATGTTTGATCATATTCTGATGCTATCGTAGTTTGAGTAGTTCCAAAGAAAGCCGGTGAATTAGACATGCTTGTCATAAAATGATGAGGGAAACTTCCTGCTCAACAGTCAAAAATAATGCACATGCTTGCGCTTTTTTTTAAAGAAAAATGCTCCAAATAAGGATATCAGCCATATTTGGTGTTTGCTTGATTAGTCAACATTCGTAAAGCCGTCACCACTCGTATAAGCTTGCAAAGAATTCCTAGAAAAGCGCTTGGAATGTGATCTGATAACGAGCTGATCATCGACTGACGGCGTAGGCGAGCATGTCGGAACTTTGACATCAATGAGCAGGCGACAAATAGAGTCACGCATGGCAATCGAGAGCGTGGAGTATTGAGAGTTTACGACATCCGTGAAAGCTTCCAAAAATAAATTGATGATAAAACAAAGACCAAAACAGGCTAAAAAACCTTCATAAATGGAAAACGAGCAAAGTTTTATGAGCACCACGATGTAATGTACCAAAAAATCATAGAAACCTTTCCGTAAGCTTACAGTAAGGAAGCAAGTGTCTTTACCGAAGTTATAACTCAACTATTTTCACTGTCTTGAACTCAGCTAATTTTTGGCACTGAATCTCTTGAACTCTCTATAAGACATCCATAAACAACTCCCTAAATCATCATTTCTTTGAAGCTCTTTTAGATACGCTAATACATGTACACTTGACAACATTTGGATAATCCTTTTTGGTGCTCATTCACATCTCCACGCAGCTGTGCAAACAAATCCGTGTCTCTAGTGTATGTATGCAGAATGAATGCTCGAAAAAAACTTTTGGAAATGCTACTGATTTCAAATGACCGTTTGTAAGCCTACCTCATAGTAAACATGGAATGTCAAGGAAGTAGAGGGTGGACATAAAAATGATTTTGTCTAACTGCAGTGGGTAGCCGACAAAATTCGTGCTGCTTCGAGTTTACTGTTTTCCCTAGTAATTAATCGTTATGAAAAATAGAACTGCCAATTCACTCATGACTTCAGTGAAAAAACACACTCAGCCTCGCAAAATTCGCTATGCATTGTAGTCAGCCACTTGGAAAGAATGCCGGAGCTACAAAATACAATTGGGACTTTGGACCGGACTTATTTTGCAGCAGTGCTCTATCTTAATCCTTTTATCACAACGTGAATGGTGGCGGGTGCAAAGGGCAAGAATGACAAGCTGCTGTAGGAATGGCGTACAAAATCCAAAATACACTTTGAATCGTAGAAGTTCCGTTTCTAATGGCATCATCCTACAGGATTTGGTGTGCCTCGTGATGTCATCGATAAAGTGAAATCGGAAAATTTGGCTGAAATCACGGATGAGAAGAAAATCGAACTTCTCAAGGGGTCGACATGGCTACAGTCTGGTACCAACAAATTCGCTTCACAAAAGGGACAAACCGGTTAGCTTAGGCTCAGCACTTTCTCTAGACAAAAAGGTAGTAGTATCATAATTTCATAGGCTTCGGTGCTCCTCGTGATGTCAACTACAAAACGAAGGGAACTGGTGGAGCTAGCGATGTACCGGAGGAGAAGGTAGGAGAAGAGCTTCTGCTTTTGACGACCTTCTAACACTTTTCTGACTCTGAAATGACATCTGGATTACCAATTTAGCGATGGGTATAGCGTTTTTAGGCTCGTGCCTCCGATGGCATCGTTCCCCTACAATCTGGAACCAACAAACTCGCTTCCCAAGCTGGTATGACCGGTATCGGTATGCCCCGTATTGTTGATGGTGAGTATTGAAATTCGGGAATCAATTATTTATTATGCAAGTAGCAAGCTTCCTATAGTGCGCAAGGCTGAGGACCAAGACCGTGAGTCACAAGGATTCATCCATCTCCAAATGGGTACAAACCGATTTGCCAACCAGTCTGGTATGACCGGCTTTGGCATGCCCCGTCACAACATTACCAAGTGAGTACATTGCCATTTAGAATGAGCTCTACAGAATGTCCGAGCAAACAAAGTCGTACTCTACAGGTACAAAGATGAGGTCCGTGGTGAGATGCCCCATGACGAAGGAAGCACATCCAGGCAGACGTCCGGCTGGAGAGAGGGTAAAATCAAAATGTTTTATTTGCTTCATATCAGCCTCATTGAACACAGTCTTAGTGGTCCAATAAATCTAGAACATGATCTCAGAAGGATGTAAGCTTGAATGGCAGCAGACTGGGGAATATTCTGATTTGAGGTGCTTCAACAGAAAAGAACTGTAATTTTGCTGAATTTGCTCAATACTACGCAAAGCAGTAAACCTAGTGGCCTAAGATATTTTTGATTAGTTCGCTCGATTTTTGGAACATCAACATTAGCAGGACCATTATAATTCACTTTCTGTTATTTCTACGCATCAGTAATTCATGATTCGCAAAACGAGAAAAGAAATATCCGCAAGCTTTCGAAAGTTTCAAGAGTCATTCGGATTCTCATTCCTGTGAGTTTCTTCAAAATGCTTGAACCATTTCAATGCCCAAAAATAGTGTATATGTGTTCTTCGCAAAAATTGATCGATGCTTGAGCAATGTCTCAATAAACATATTTTTAGGAGCCTCCCAGGCTGGTATGACTGGTTTTGGAGCATTCCGTAATAACACTGTCAACATGCTTCAGGCTCAAGAGCAGCGCTCACAGGTGCAGCAACTTTTTATTCAATGGATCTTGCAAAAATCGTTTAACTTTGTTCCATTTAGGGAATGATCCCCTACCAGATGGGTGTAAACTTCCTCGAATCGCAGGCTGGTAAGACCGGATTTGGAATGCCTAGACAAGTAAGAAGATTCATTTTTTATAATTTCAAATTATCGGGTGTGTGCAAAGATGGACAATAGTTGCAAATAAGCATACTGTAGCCTTATGGTTGTCATCATGCCGCGCATAGTCCTTTTCAAAGCACTACGTTCTTCGCTGGATCGAAAATGGTACCAAAAAAGATTAGATCTCACCAAGCTATCTGCGTTTTTTTCCAGAATTTCCAATACCAAAATTGCGTAAATATAGAATTTGAGAAAGATTTGACCTACGCAACGCATATGGCTGGCACAAGCTATCTTTCATGCTGGCTGCCCTCCTTAAGTTGATTCGTTATCATCTCGTATTCTAGGTATTCACCTCATTCGTTGATGATACTCACGAGGATCTGCCAGCCGACATGGCCCGCAGACCAGAAGTGCCATTCTGGACTGGGCAGGATGAGTCCAGGCATGCCAATCAGGTGCGCAAAACTTCCCCTTCTGGCCCATGCCTCCCCCTTAGGACTTCTCCCTTACTCCTCCCCTCCTAAATTTTAAGCAATTTGTACCATGATTTTTTTCAGACCGGTATGGGTGCCTTCGGAACTCCCCGTGATGTGCGTGGCGAATACGTTCGACGCATGTGGTGATCGCTATAGCCGCTTCGCTCAACCAACTCGACTAGTCAGCTACAAGAATCGATAGCCAGGCCCAAATCCCACAATTTGTGACATACCGTACCCTTCAGCATCACACTTGCCAGTGACCTATGGACTTTTTCTTCTCCTTGATAATTCAAGTTGTACCTTACTCATCGTCTTGGAAGTTGTTTATATTTGATAAATTGATAAACACTGACGGCAGCAACTCAAAGAAAGAGTCTTGGTAACATCTGAAATTTCAGAGTAAACTAGACAAAGTACGAACCCAATGAATTTTATTTGCTTACACTTTCGACTTTAAAAACTGACTTGGTGGTCGAGACACTTTCGACTTTGAAAACTGACTCGGTGGTCGAGAAACCATCTTCTCTCCAGTACAAGTAACAATTTTTCTATAGTTTTACTGCAATGGCTATGCTGAACCAGGCTTTGAACAGTCGACTCAAGATTCTAGCCAACATCGAACTTGGCTTTAAATTTGAATCCGAATTTCAGGATAAGTAGCCAGGGGTTGTAAATTGCTTCAGCTTTGACCTTTTTTGTATAAGCTCTACAGCTTCATGAGCTGCATCACTGCTGTAAAAGCAATTCAACCTACAAGCATACGAAAAGAACAAAGTCTTTAAATTATTTTGGGAATCATGAAAAACTGAGTTTTATTTGGGTCATATCAGGAGTTACTCAACATTATTAAGAGAATTCCTCCTGTATAATTAGGTTGCTAATCGATCTCAGATTTTCATTTTACTGAAAATCCCAAAAAGTTCCCTGAAAAGCTCAAATTTGATTCACACTTACAAGGGAAGCTTGTTTAGTCGAAGTGGCTTTTCCAAATGAGATGTATACCATATTAAGGGCCAAAACGCTGATTCCAAATCTGCCTTCATTATCTGCAGAACATTTATGGAAGAGGAGTTATGAGCGTTTTTTGAGGCCGAAAATTAAGTGTGCATTTTGGATAAAATCTGCTAAAATCTTACTAGCCCTCAAATAATGCAATCAAGTGTGGAATACTTTTACCTTGGAGTATGTTTCAAACAAAGAGCTCTGATGATCGTCACTGCTCCTTGAAGAGCTAGAAAAAGTATTACGATTTTGTCCTACTACCAGATTCAATTTTTTTGCTCCAATAAGCGCTCATAACTCCTCGTCCACAAACATTCTGCAGATAAGGAAAGAGATTTGGAATCAGCATTCTATGTCCTACAATGATCGTACTCGGTGACTCTAATGCACAAAAGTGGCATGCCTACGGGGCGGCGTGGCAGCAGTTCCCAAAGCCTAGCCGCTTTTCCTCGCAGGGGTACTTGGCACCTCCAGAAATCCCTTGAAGGACAACACACCTTCTCGGGGCCAAAGGGCGGCTCCGCCCATCACTCTTCCCTCTAGGTGCCCTCATTCTTAATTGTGTACATGCACTGTAAGACATGCCTTATTATATATATGAGGATAATGGAACTGGAATGGGGAAACAAAAAAAATTCTAGGTTTTAAAAGGTCCAGAATCCGCAGGTGAATTGCAGCATTTGGGAGTTATGTATTACTCATGTTTTCAGATAGATTGACGCTTCCTTAAAAACTTTTAAGTGCTCGCGCCTGACTATATTTGTGAAACACATCGCATTAATATAAATTAAGCAGAAGTTATGAGTCTTCCAATCACGGTATATAACAGAAAAGTTAGTCTACTTTACGCAAGTTCTGGATTCATCTAAGAATATAGCGAATTACCACATCTTGCAAATTCAGTGTCGTTTTTGAAATTCCTAGTTAATTCTTCGATCACGCGACGAAGTTTGGTAATCTAGTAGAACGATTGTAGGAAATACAAAATTTCTTTATGATTATCTGGGCCTTGCTGATCATTAGAGTAATCGGAATGAAAAACTCTTTGAATGTATGATGGCAGACGATAAAAAAAAGTATGTGTTTAGATATCCTATCCGTTGGAAAGCGTTAAGTGCTTGTTCGGAAACTTTGATGCACATCATTCAAAATAGGTCCTTCGTTGTTGTGAAAGAATTGGGTTCTGAAGCTCCTGATGCTAAATTACTTCAATCAGATGACCAGTATTGTACAATTTTTTGACTAGATCCTCTAATATTTCGAATGACCGCATTTTCCATTCAAAAATTTCTCTGTTATTTTTCTCTTCTTAGAGTAATGTTCATGTTGTTCTTTTTCAAAAGGATGGCATAGCAGAAGTTTCCAAGCCGCCTCACTAAAGAAATGATAATATGTTCCGTTTTTTCTCCATTTTTTTCTCTTATCACCTTAATACCTGAATCTACGTTCTCGCTGCTTGCACGCCTCACAATGAGACCGGTTAATAGGAGGAGCAATAGGCGGGTCCTGACCTCTGAGGCCCGGAGGTGCTAGAACCCTCCTGGGTGCGAATGTAGGTGCGAAGTTGGTGCGAGGAAAGGTGCTAGGAACTCCTGCACGCCCTCCTGCCTACGGCACTGCCTCTCTGGTAACTATCAACCGATGCTTCTGACCTCTCGAGAACGAAAGGTGAGAAAATAGCAAGAACATCTCAGAAACTCCAGAAATTCCTTGTCTGCCTGTTTATTATGAATTGATTCAAACTTTTGAAAAACTTCGCAAAAAATGGTCCTCCTATAGATATGCGAGTAAAATAAATATAATAGGTGTACTACAAATTATCTGCTCATGTCGTTGTTCCCTCATTTGATTCTATACTTGTGAGATCCCATGCACATATGCTCACTACAGTGAAGCCGGTTCTTTAGTTTAATAGAGGAAAGTGGTTTCAGTGTCAGCATAGCCACTTGTAAAAAAAGAGAGGAAATTTCGTCATTTCCGACGTTGAAGACTGATCAAAACACATGCCAAGAGGCTGCATGCTACGCGCTTCCTCGAGGACTTAGTCTACGGGATACAAAATGCCAAGTTGACAATTACAGCGGCCCTCATTCCAATAATCGCATTGGGTAACTACATCATTTCGATGATTTACAGTGGAGCAGGCTGGTAGCGGTACAGTTGCTATTATAACAAAACTGTATAAAACTCGAAAACACGAAGATGGTTGCTCGAGATATCTCTCTATAGGCCCTCCGCGCAGAGTGCGGAGAGTGCGCAAGGCGTGTACTGCGCGTCACTCCCCTTTCCTCATGCACTCTCGTCGCTTTTTTTCTCTGCGCCTCTTCCAGTCATGAATTGCCTTCGATGGACGCGCGTTGCTCTCCGAGCACAGCGCGTTTGGCCTATACTAAATGACGAGGACTGCATAGTGATTCGTGTTACGACACCAGATGAGAAACTGTCAAATTTGGCTCATTCTGCAATTTTTTTAAGAATGAGCGCATTGCAGAAAACTTCTTTTAGCAAGAATTATTGAACATTCCACATTCTTCTATAGATTGTTCTAGAAACATTTAACAAAAATAATACGAAGAGAATTTCATAGGAAGCGTTACAAAGCAACCCGTCATATTTACACGTGGGACTGCGCGCTTCGTAACTGTTGCCATAGAAACTCAGCCACTATTTGATTTACCTCTGACATTGCCACGATCGCTTCTACTTTCAAATCAGTGTCATAATAATTTTTCGTAAATAAGACGATGCGCTTCAGTGATTTGGAGTTTTGTTGATTACGAAGTATGCTGCAAATCCAAATCGATTTTCATGTGAAACTTTGCGTGTTGCCCCCTCTCCAACACTCACGATTTATTCGTGAAATTCCGTGTTAAGTAAGGGAAGATATATAAATCTGTTTTTTTTATCTAGCTGGTTTTACTGCTGAACTGACTTCTTTTGATTCCCGTATCAATAGGCGCATGCTGCGCATATTTTCAAGACTCATGCGTCTTCCATTTTGAAGAAACGAAGCTGGAACTAATGATACCGTAGTGATTGTCGCATGATTCTGGCTTGGCTTAATCAACGTAGGAAATTTTTGTATGAGAACACTACTTGCGCAATTCTCACATCAGTCTGTATGAACTAATCTAACATTCATGCAAACCCAATTTTTCTAAAAGCAATTGTTTATTCGAAGTAGAAAAGTATTTGAAGTTTGAGACATGACGGATGAAAATACGTAAAAGTTGACGAGAGTGGGATTCGAACCCACGCCTCCGAAGAGACTGGTGCCTTAAACCAGCGCCTTAGACCGCTCGGCCATCTCGCCACACGTATGCCATCTGTATACATGTGCTTAGATTCCATTCTTAGTAAATATTTCTAATTTAGTCGTTTAGCATGGAAGAAGGAGATAATGCTACAGCAGCGACACCAAAGTTTGAAGGCTTGTTCAAAGCTCTTCGCCTCTACCGAAACAATCAAATAGATGCATGCGAAGAGGAGTGCACGAAGCTGCTCAATAAAAATCCTCTAGATCAGGTACCAGGAGTGTTTGATGAACAACTGTGCGTTTTCACTGCTATTCAGGCCGCGTGGGCTCTGAAACTTTGTTGCTTGACTGACCCTGTCTACGTTGACGAACTTGAAAACGATGAACTCGGCATTGCTGAGACATTTTTGGATCAGAATGTCATCGCTCCAAATGCTCGGCCTGGAACATCTTTCCAAAGACCAACCACTACCGGAAAAGGCATGAACCCGATTATGAGGTAATATCTTCACTTTTTGCCAAGAGTAAAGTGTTTGATTTTTCTCAGACCAGTTTCAACAGCTGGAAGACCGCTTTCGGGTGTAGCTCGTCCGTTAACATCACTCCGACCTGGGACAATGGAACAAGCAGTACGCACAAGTCGCACTGCTAGGACAGCCAGAGCTGTTAGCAGCGGATCAGCCAGACAGCTACGTTTAGGAACGGTAAAAATGCTTAAGGTCTTTTATACGTTAATTGAATGACGTTAGCTTAGGCTTCTATGGCAGCTAGCGCAGATGGACCTTTTGTCAACTTGGCTCGACTCAATGTGGACAAATATGCAGCCGATCCTCACGTGAGTGCAAAACTGCCATTTGCTGGAGAAAAGAAGGTCTGAAGAAAAGGATGTATAGAAACGCTGCGAACGAAAAAGTGGCGAATCTGACTGCCTGGTTGATTTACGTATTAAGGAAATTGTATAACTTTTGTTTCTTACGTAAAGCATTGATGCACCTTTGGGCATACAGGTCAGCGTTGCAGTTTAGATCAATACTTGTTAGTTTGAGCCATTAGCTATTATATCCTATTTGTTTGGTAATGTAGAGCACTTTCTTAAGTGAACGCGCAGAACCTTGT